TCAGCACAGTGCCAGTAAACTCTCTTCACGCCTCCTAACAAAACGGTGAAACCAACAGAAAACAAGCCTTCGCACAGGCCGATGTTATTCCAAGCCGAGCGCTGATCAATCGCGGCTGAGTGGCACAAAGGGACCCGCGACGGCTTCCCGACCAAGTCTCTCCTCGGGGCTGCGTTCCAACAAAACTCTGCGATGTTAACGCCTCCGTGCCTCCCAATTGTTCGTCTTTTCACAGCCATTGTCTCCCGTGTACCTCCTCTACTGTGTAAGGGGCTCAGTCACGTGGAAAACTATTCATGTCATAATTTTGATCTTGCACCAGGCGTTACAACCCATTCTCCACAAAAGCAAGCCCCATTATAGCAGTTTCCATACCACTCCTAATTCTTTCTTTCATTCCCTTTTTTCCCCTTTGCTTACAGAACATGGGAGGGAAAATAATGTTCTGACTGGGTATGCTAAATTGCCTGCATTTATAGTGATTGACATTATGGGTTTACTCTGAACTGCAGGAAGTATGAAGGCCCAGCGTGGTATGCTATCAAACATTAGGAATAATAGTAGTAGTGGGATAAGGCCAGTCTACATGTGGAACTAGGAAAAACTGAAGTCTGAAGTTAAGTGCTCTGAAACAGTAGGCCCATCAAAAACACAATTACCTGGTAGCATATACATGTAGGTCAGTTCATGAATGTTTAAGAATGTTCATGAATATTTACTTTAAAACATTTCTAGAATAATCAAATCAGAGTGCATGTCCCCAAAAAACCCAGACAGTTAACATATTAACCCCCCCCCCCCCTCGAGTGGTTTAAAACTGATGAGAAGCAATTGATATTGAGTAATCAGGGAGACTCCCTGGAGTAATGGACGTGGAGCGGTTAATGCAGGAGCATGTGTCGGACAACCCTACGCCTACCCCCCCCCCCCCCTGCCATCCCATTTCTTCCATCACCCAAAACAAATCAATGAAATTCTGTCCATTTGACGTAAACCAGATGGCACAAAATCAGTCCCCTTGTCCAGCGGAATAGTACTCTCCCATCATACATACAGTAATTACATACAGGATATTAATTAAGAGAAACCATCAGTGTTATTGTTTACTGCAGATTCTGCTTAATTGAGCAGAACTCCCTAATGTAATGTAGGGCGCAGGTTGACGAGAGGACTTTAAGCCTAGTCTGCAAGCACAGATTCTCCTTTGACACTTAAAATAAACTCAATTCCATATGGTCTTCAGCAGAGCCTATATCTGTATCTGTCTATCTCTTGTTATCATGAGCAGCTACAGTATACACAGGACCTATTGATTTCATTCTCTGTATAGTCTTCTTGCTCAGACCTGTTAGGCACAATAACTTACATGGGTTTGTGCATGCAAACTACTTCAGCCCATACGTGCTGATGAGACAATCATGTTGTGAGATAACAGTTTGGGCATACATTCATTCGTATGCGTCACATTCATCGTTTATGACCTTTAACAAGAAGTAATGGATCGATACACAATTGCACAGACAAGAGCACTTTAATTTCAGAATTTGTTCACTCTATAAAGTTGCATAATGATGTAACTTGATATCAAAGTGGAAGAAAAACACTCAGAACAATTTAGATTTGCTAGCAAAATGAATAAGGTTTCTAACTCTGTAAGAGTGGCTATCTCAGGTCGCCATCGATTTCAAGCTTACCGCTCATGATGGCGGTCTCCTGCGTTTTCTGTAATTTATCTATTTTCATTGAAAAATATTTGTGTTTGTATGCATCTTATTTAATGTACTTAAAAATGTATAATTATGTAAAATGAAGGCAAGATTGTTACTTAATGTATATGATTATGTTCTATTTTGAAAACGCAGAAATAAAAACAAACAAACAAAAGATATGAAGTTTAAAGAGATTCATGCAACACAACTTGTGATTTCAAACCAAATTTAGTCAAATCCTAAATGGATTTTCAAGATTTACTCCGCAGTTGTTTTGGGGAAATCGACTAAAAAATAATAATTATTTGTATCTGCATGCATTCAAATTCTTTGTATCAAACCCCAAAGAACAAGGCAGGCAGTCCATTTTTTAACGCTGCGACCATTTCCTATCAGATGTCCTCATCTCACTCCGCCTCGGGCCATTTGGGAGAGATCCTAACGACGAACTAACAAGCCGTGCACACATTCTGTCCAACGTCAGAAATATCCTACGGTACATAGCCCACGGGCATCGTGCCTCTAACATGCCACAAGTTTTCGCCGGCCGATCGTCATCGCCGGAGCTCCGAAAAATCATCCTATCTCTTGCAATGACAACGTCCTTGACGCGGTCGTCTCATTTTCACCACTTTCGTTTTTCCTCCCTGTCTTTAATTCGACAAGGCAGGAATAGAAGTCGTGATATACAAGACACCCAGGCACAGACTATCTGGACAGTTCGCTTGTACTTTACCTCAAACTTTTATTGATTTATCACACAATGCCTGGCCGCTCATAATCAGCAAAACACACCCTCCCAAAATTGCTCTTTAATATTCCGCCAAACGTTGGTTGCGTTGGTTGAAATTTCTTCCTCTTTAAACACATGGCTTCTAGCTGCCTCCTCCTACTCCTCCTCCTCCTACTCCTCTTATTCAATACTCTCGACTTCAATTTGACATTTGATTTTTAAAATCAGAAAAAAGGGAAATAGTGGTGAGAAGGATTTAAATTTCAGCGAGCAGAGATTGATTTCGACATCATGGGCATGGCAGTCAACGTTCTACGTAATGATACAATTCTAATCCTTATAGCATCTTATATCTGTAATTGTTAATAGACAGACTTTAATACAAGATGCAGCACTGGCATCCAAAACAGTAAAAAATAAAGTTCTTCAAATTTACACGTGTCAGGTTTATAAGAAAAATATTCCTGTATATAGTCTTCCCAAAAAGTGTTACACGTAGATGAGTTGAATTAGCATTCAGGAAAACGCTGACCCAATCCAGCTAGTTCGGTTGACAAATAAGAATTCCATACAGTAATCAATAACATTTGTACTGTGGCTATCTATAAAGCTCAAGGGTTTGATAAAATTCATCCCATGTGACATTTTTTTCCAATAATCCAAACAGTATTGCAATGGGATATGATTTTATACCTGTCTGACACATGTTGTGTTTAGAGTTTAGAAAAGAGATTTGCCAATCCCTTTGATCTCAACTTCCTATTTTCTAACAAAATCATCTGTTTACGGCCAAAAGGGTATTAACTCTGACTTAAAGGTATAGTTGAGTATTGGTAATTTCCAAAGTGCCCCTCCAAAACAGATTTGGTTTATTTCAGTACCATATGAAAGATCATCGAAAAAAACATGGGAGATGATAATAATTCCAAATTAAATGCTCTAATTGTTGTGCAATTTGCTTTCAAAACATTATATAAAAGTGTTTGACGTCCGGACATCACTTTTGACTTTCGACGGTTTATTTTTTGAATTTACGTGTTTAGCTCCCTCTATGTCATTTAACAACCAGCGTATTTACAACGAGTGTTTGAGTTCGTTGGTACGTACAGTACTACAGGTAGCTAGCAGGCGGGTATCCGACCGCGCGCTAGTAATACAGTACAGCTGATCAATTCCAATACGCTGCTTTCACGTAAAGTATAACACACACAGCTCATATCAGATTATCACCGGCGCCGATCGAACGCTAGACAGCTACAGACAAGCTTTGATTGAAATACGATAACGAGATCGAGATTGGAAAAGGAGCTCGAGGTCACGGACGATGGCCGACTCGGACTCAGCTAGTGCTAAGCCTAAGGACAAGGCTAAGGCTACGCTAAATCGGAATAAGACTAAGTAAGACGGTAAGAGGAAGGAGAGAAACAAGCAATGGCAGCTCGACCATCCGGCCCAGAGGAGGCGCGGGAGTAGACCGAATTTTCCGTCTCTTTCGTTCGTTAGCCTCTTATTGGGGGTAGGGTCGGCTCACTCTTTAGAGACGGAAGCCGTTTATACACATGTCCTTGCTAACGCCACGGCCAGTTCTGGTCGTAGCGTTTTGCCCCCAAAATCCCCCAAAATGTCATTTTACCTCGAGCATGTTATATTGTAAATTAGGCCTAGGCTATAATAAATCAGTTCCACTTACCAACTTGACTGAAATAATCAGTTTAATAGTCCCTTTTTAGGAAATTATGGGTCAAAATCGGAATCCATGTTGAAAAAGATTTTCAAAATGGATTTCGATTTTGACCCATAATTTCCTAAAAAGGGACTATTAAACTGATTATTTCAGTCAAGTTGGTAAGTGGAACTGATTTATTATAGCCTAGAGTCTAGGCCTAATTTACAATATAACATGCTCGAGGTAAAATGACATTTTGGGGGATTTTGGGGGCAAAACGCTACGACCAGAACTGGCCGTGGCGTTAGCAAGGACATGTGTATAAACGGCTTCCGTCTCTAAAGAGAGAGCCGACCCTACCCCAATAAGAGGCTAACGAACGAAAGAGACGGAAAATTCGGTCTAGGTCTACAGTAGACCGAAAGCTTCAGTCTCTATATCGTCGGTTGTTCCACTGAGACTACGTCTGGCTCCACTAGACCTCCGGATAAATTTGGTTCAAATGAAAATATTGGAAGCATAGGTCTATGCGATCCTACAATATTCAGTGAACGTTGTCGCGTTGAAATCGAGTCTAAAGTGATGAAATTGTAAATAATAATCTCTTTATGGGGTATACTATAACTCTCTCTCAAGGTCAATATATTAATTCAGCTATACAACAAGCTACAATTGACCGATTGGCTATTACCTTTTTGAAATTATATATCACAACTACATATTCCGGGATTTTTATGGTAGCACTAGCAGCTACCGTTGTACGACCGTAGGCGCTATTTTAAATTTATCAAAATTTACCGGGAGCACCGGTAAATTTTTATATTCAATTTTTTTCGAAAGCAGAAGTGTTTTAGGAGCTAAATTTTCTAGTGCTTATAATACTTCCACAGGGGCATCCAAATATATCAAAATTGTAAAGAATCACTATCCACCCAATTTTCAAAATTTCCCAAAACTTTGTAATAGACCCTACCTTTAATGTCCCTCGTTACAACTGCAGTTTTCTTTGTAATTATGACGTGCAGGGCTAGTCAACCGGGTAAACATCCTGCTCTTTTTAAAAGTCGACAAGGTTATACTATAGCTTGCTTGAGATGTGACTGTCTCATCTATATTTATCTCTACCAAAGAGTGTCTCAACTTCACATACATGACAGAGAACCAATGCATCAGTTATTAGTCATGCAAATTCCAAATCTGGCTAGCTGTGATAATTATTAGAGAATGCCATCTTCAAAATAATTTCTTTTGGTGATTTAAAATCTGAATGTTTTTTACTTTGTGAATGACTTTCGTTTCTTCACTTTTTACAGATATGAAGAACAGACAACACAATCCATCCCCAGCGAAGAAATTCCAAGCAGCAGTAGGGGAATTAGCAGGTGAATAGTACAAGTCACCTTTGACCGCAAATTCATGGAGAACTTGGCCTACTCTGCTGATTTGCTCGCTTCAGGTAGGATTCTGTATACATGTACGAAAGGCTCTGTAAATTGAGAGGAATTTAATGAGAATGCGTTCATTACGTACATGTTTGCAAGATTGAGCTCTTTTTTGGTTATGACCTATAAAATTGGGACATATCAGCAGGTCAAGATAATGCATCTTATTTGCTCATGTGTATGACATGGGATTTTCAATATTGATTTTGTGGTATGAAAATAATGAAATGCCCTATCATTTATATCAGTTTTTATTTTGTTTTCATAATTCCTTAGGCACACCAGCATGCTCGAGTGTTTCCACAACCATATACTGATGTATGCTTCCAAGCGGTATTCCTTTGAGTAAGTATTTTTAGTATCATTTTGTATGTTTGAAGTAAGATTGTCTGTGGAAAAGTTGAAACATATCATTACAGTACGGTTACAGTTACAATATCATATTTTGAAGCAAATAGCAAAGTTAATGAGAAATTATGAATGACATCTATATAAATGCTGAAATCACTTTTGGATGCATGCAGAGTCTTGAAACAGCAGACTTTGTATCGTACTTGTGTCGGTACCTGATGTTAAGTCAAGTTGGAGTGGTTGTAGCAGGGAAATGTAACTACCTTTAATTAAGAGTCAATAATTTACAACACAAATCCAGAACTGAAGTGAATGGCTCGTATTCACAAAGGAGGTTTGTACAAACCATGGTTTGGCCAAGGTTTACATCTATGGAATGCCATTTGTAAACTGATGGAGAAGGAATGTAAACTCCATACTTGTTAACAATGTTAATTTACAATTTACGGTATGCGAGCAGCATTCCATAGATGTAAACCATCGTCAAACCATGGTTTGTACAAACCTCCTACAAACCTCCTTTGTGACTACGGGCCAATGAGTCTGAGATTTGTCTAAAGCATTTACTATTCATTCATCATGGTAGTGGTAATACCAATTGTTTGTCTTATCCATCCAGCTACCCAGCAAACCGGGCAAGGAATTTGCTTGCGGTCATCGACTACATGGCACACAAGGACAGGCCCGACCAGATTGATGAACAAGGCAATACAAAGTGAGTGGAAATTAGAAAGAAAGAAAAAAAGGTTTTCTTTTCTTTCTTGTTTTTCCTATTTTTATTTGTACATTTTTTTTTAGATGGACAAGGCAATCCAAAGTGGGTGGAGTAAAAAAAAAAAACATGATTTTTTGTTTTCCCTGTGTAGTTGGACAGGGCAATCCGAATTGGCAGTTCTTTCCCATGAAATTTATCAATTTTGGGGAAATTATTAAATATCTAATTGTCCTTCCTGGGAACGCCCCTTTTAAATCGCCAAAATATGACGTCATCTAAAGAAGTTGTCCCTGTACACGACGCACATCTAAATTATGTAGATGACGGACTGTAAGCTGATGGTTTGTCAATCATGCTGCTGATTTTGGACCCTAAATGCGGACTTGGATTCAGTGTAATAATATACTTGGTGTGTAATGCAAGGTTCTGGAGTCATCAAAATCATCATAAATTTGGCAGAGTTTTGGTAAAGTAACAATCACTTACACAGAAAGATGTATATGGGACAACACACATGGTGTCGGCCTGTCGGGGCTAGTACTACCCTGATTTCCTTATCTTTCTATGCTCATTACTCAGCCAGTATACATTTTCTTCCAAAATTGTTTGGCACATGACATTTATTTGTAATCTTGAACATTCAGTGTAAGTTTCGTTAGATTCTGTGAGAATTCATTTTCTTTTTTTACCAGAACTCAAGTTTATCTTTAAGAGATATGAATCATTTCCAATTGACAAGAATGAGTGTGCATATAATGCAACTTGTTACATTTTGCATGTTCTTTTATTTTATGATACAGATATGTTGCAGTATGGTCAAAGCGTGCCAACAACTACGTGGCCCGGAAGGAGAAGGTCCCCAAGACCTACCCCTACATGTATGTACAAGGACTCATCGGTGCGATACTGGAACGCAGAGAACAGGACCAAGGACCACTGTTCTCGAAGGCTGTTCTGCTCCCTGATGACCCTAGACACACAAGGCCCCGGCTTGCACCATTTCCTCCACCACAAGTTGATGTGATCCTAGCCAGGAGACTAGGCCGATTAGAGAAATCCATGTAATCCTCTGTAGTGAACATTTGGGATTGTCTGACTTGAGAACTGCTTTTTTTCGAGCAGAGACTAAGGGATCCAAATGGCGTCCTTCCGTCCATCCTCCGTGACTGTACACAAATTTGAATGAAGTCTAATGTGAAATCTTACCTGCAAAAATCAGTTAGGGTTGCTAACTTTCCAACCCTACATCTGTTTGTAACCATACTTGATTGGTAGATGCCCTTTATTGGCCTCCATGATATTCTGGAGTTGAAGGTCACATAAGTAGGTCAAAGGTCAAATGAGGTTCATTGTTGCATGATTGCATGCAAGACTCTTAATCGCCTCGATTTAATTTGTCCATGTGGCATGTTTTTAGGCTATCTTGAGGATTGGTTGGAACTTAACATTTTGGACTCATTTGGTTGCTAATGATTTTGTGGTCCGGAGGTGAAAGATTGCATGGCTTAGCATTACGAGCATGTATTCTTGATATGTCAGAGACCCTTTGACAAAATACCACCAAACTTGATACTAGAGTGTCCCTGGGGATCATGGGGATGTGGTTATCTGGAGAAAAAAAATCACATAACACATGATATACATGTACCAGAAATAAATTGTTATTGTTGCTAGATTAGCCACCATGCTTGGCACTTGTATATTGTATTACAATAAGAGGTTGGCAAGTTTACAAATGGAAGAAATGTAGGAATATAAAAGACAAATTGTGACATCAGTGTATAAAAGCTCTATGTGATTTATACAATTCATAATTTGTGATAAAATCAGTGCTTGCTCATGTGGAAATGGTGGATATTTCAATTTGTATCTATTTGGCAACCTATATTCCTTGAAGAAGTTACGGTAGTAATTATAAAATTTACAGCCAAGAGGTCAAACCATGAGTCAACAATGTGTTTGGTTTTAGTGACTGTGCATGTAACTGAGGTGACAGTCGATCATGAAAAAGACTATACTTCGGAACCTGTTGAAAATCAACATGGACAGAAGAAAGATTTGTAGAATATCTTATTGTAAATAGTCTTCATTTTTTATTTAATGCAATCAATGTGACTAAAATAATGCAAGCGAAAAAGAGAAATGATCACAAGACAGCAAAACAGTTGGTTTCATGCATCATTTGAATCAATGAACGTGAATCAGCTCAACGCCAAAGTATTGCGGTTCAAGGTTATACCATCAAGAGATATGCTGCCTGTAACTACTTTGTAGTTTGAAAGGGTGTATAAAGGAATAAGGATACAGTTGGGCAGGCGAGTCTTTCTGTTGGTCTATTGTAAAAAACTGGGTCAAATTTTTTTGCAAATTGTAATAAAACTTGGTATACCGATTGACCCGAGGGTGTGCAAGACACATTTGTTGTGTCTGTCTGTTAAGGTACCTCCATGGTAACCAAGCTTTGCACAAAGAATACAATTTTGTTTTAATAATCTTGTGGAGCATATTCTTTCCAAGTTTTAGCAATTTTATAGTTTTGGTATCTTTGATGAGGCATTATAATAACAGTATAAAACTCAATGCATGTGCAGTGTGTAAAATAAGTATGTGAGCAAACTATTGGAAGTAGTTTGATCGATTCATATGAAACTCAGTACACACAACGCAGAATTGTCTTTTGTGTGCGTATAGGACATGACCAGTTTTGAAATGTCTGTGCTATTTTTTTGAAAAACCTTATGTTGGATGTTAATCACTTGAGGTGATATTCATAGTCGAGCATTAGGGAAGATGAAAGACATATATGTACCTAACTATACTTAATTTTGTGCTGAAACTGATATGATTCAGGATTTGAGATCGATATGGAGTATGTATACATGTATACTCGTACACATTAAGGAAAAGAATCACTCAGACAATTTTTAAAGCATTTATATATAAAGTAAGATGTGAAACTTAAAAGATAAAACCAGTTATGGTCATGCGACTGCATTGTGAAAGGATTGTTGTGGAATCGATCAGAAAAGGTTGATCATCTAGCATATAAGTCTTGGTGTGTACTGCAAGGTTCTAGAATCATCGAAATGATAAAAAAATTGGCCCAGTCTTGGTAAAGTTACAAGCACTGTACACAGAAAGATGTATATGGGACTACGCACAAGTGCGCGACACATGCGTTATATCTATCAAGTCCAAATAGATATAATAATTTACCAAATATATCAATTAGTAGGCAGTTTCTCGGCAAAATTTGTATGATCACGTACTAGTCAAAACATTGTGTGCGGGCAAGCACTGAATCAAATGACCGGGGTAATGGTATATTTGTCAAGCGCGTAGAAACATTACTGTTATAGATACTTTTCTTTGGTAAACTTATCTACACATTGCCTATAGAGTATGTCAAGTTTTTATGAAAGACACAAGATAAGATGTATATAAATAAGCAGTAACTAATAAGTAACAAGACATGGTGGTATACAAATAAAGTATATTGCTCCTTCTTAATGACGACGGTTAAAGTTGTCATAGCGATAGATGCTAAATAAAAATGTGCCTTTTTTAATACACATGATCTGTTTGTATGCAATGGTTGGAATCAACATCACGTTTAAATATTGCCTTCAGTACAGCAAGTATAATTTGTATTCATCTCAATAATGTTGTGTAAATTTAACTGTTAGTTATGGCCGAATAAAGCTTTCAATGTACACCATAAAAATATGTTATGTATCTTCATTTTAGCATTACTATAATTATATTAAAATCTTATGTCTTTACACATTTACAAGTTATCACGTACTGACGTAGGTCATGCAATACACAGGCACTGTAGAACACAACTTATTTACAAGAAGTTACAATCACTTTTTTTTTAAAACTTTACAATTGCATGCAGTACCAAAATAAGAATACTGAAAAACACTGCATTATGGACAAGTATGAATCAAGTAAGATGTTAAATTAATTCACTACTGTTATTCATTATAGTTTACTGATACAACAATTTTTAATATTTTTTTTAATTTATTTCTTTTTATTTCTCCACTTTCCCTTTAGCCATGTACCTTCATGTTGTTATATATGTTAAAGGTGTCGCTCTGGACCTATAACATATGATAAGACAAAAAATCCACCAGTTATTTCTGATTTCTATCAAATTTTTAGATTTTGTGTTGTTGTTGTTGTTTGGTATTATCGGCGTTTCATTCTTTTTTAGAATATTTACGCCTTTCACTTTATTTCTTTTTTTTCTTCTATTTTTGGTACTATTTGTCAATTCATATTCATCTCTTTTTTTTGGATAATATAATCTCAGATCTACTGGTCCATGAAAACCCCTCACCGCAATTGGCACCTTCCTGCCAGACCGGCGCGGTACATTGCGCAATCTTCTCGGCCATCATTGGCCTAGGCAACTCTGGTGCCGGTGAGAGGATTCTGGGGTAGATCTTTTGAGTCTCTTGTTTGGGGTTTACCGTCCTCAATCCGTCTTTACTCTTTCTTACCTTTTCTCTTCTAGTATTTTTCCATTTTGTAAAACCTTATTTTTCTATCAAAGTGGGTATCAACATCTTAGGGCATTTGGTTGTCGTGCGATATGTGCCAAAAAAAAATGTGGATTTAGTAATTCCTTTTTGAATGAAACATGGATTTAGCTTCTTTTGGAATTGAATGGATTTAGCTCCTTTTGGAATGAAACTGTAATAATGTTGTTTACTTTCTTTTCGAAAGGTTATATTTATGTGTGATTTCACTATTATTATTTAAAAGGAAAGGTTTGCTGCTAAATTTGAATAAAATTTCAGTGACTTTATTGAGAAAATATGATTTATTTTTTATTTTTTAGGTACAATAACATGTTTCATTCCAAAAGGAGCTAAATCCACGAAAATAAAAAATCAAAAAATTTAGTAAACATCAGAAAAGCCGAAGGGAAGATTTTTTCTTATCATTATTGGCAGATAATCAGGTCCATGCAGGGTGACACCTTTAACATATATAACAACATGAAGGTATACATGGCTAAAGGGAAAGTGGAGAAATAAAAAAGGCAATTTACTCAGAAGTACCCAAAGTGGATTTGGCTCCTTTTGGAATGAAACTCTTCACATATTATAAAAGGAAGACAAGTAATATAAAAGGAAAAACGAAGGCCCACGTCATTTACATAGAAGGTAGGTGGACAGATAACCTCGATGTTTTTAATCTAATTTCATCTGATCATTCCACAGCTTTGTTCCTACAAACGAAATACAAAATTGCCCTTGCGTTGTCTCACATATTGGTTGATAGATAGAGTAAGCCACTTTCTTTACACTGTAGAAGTAATCAACTGGGTCATACCAAGGAGTGTGTAGTAACTCCTTGGTCATACGACGTACAATACATACACATACACTACTACTAGGTCGAGCGTACTCGTACTCGCACTACATACACATACAGTATTCGCATATCGCGCTCAAAAACAATAGCGCTACCAGTACCACAGACCATGCAATTATGTGCAGGCCTCGCATACCATAATGTGTACAATATAAATCAGTCGGCGCGCTATAGACATGGTTCGGATATTACTTGCACGCCCATATCCGATCGTCGTCTTGGCGAAAATTCACGGTGTGCTGCCGCTTGACCGAGAGGTGGCGCTATACAATTACACTGAACACGCCTCGAAAGTAAAATTTTTGATAAATAAAATCATTTGCAGTCGAACAGGTTTTTTGCATATAAATTCACTCTAATGTAATATTTCGGATTTATATCTTCAATGATGCATTCTTAGACATTTATTGTATGTTTTTTATGTTTAGATCATAGTTTCGTTCGCTAATGTGAGTATTGACCAACACTCAACTATTCCTTTAAATGAGTACATGTTAGTGCCCTTTTGGCCCTTAAACAGCTGATATGAATTATCAGCTTTACAACAACACTATTCAATACACTTATATACCAATTTGGTTCTAATACTCTGTGTACCATCGCAGTACATTCCCATTTATTGTACCATGTCACAATCTCCGCTCAATGATTGACAAATCTAAACTATCATTTCAAATTCCAGACTCTCCTGAACTGAAAAATATTGTTCAGTAAATGTAGCTCCATAGAAAACATGGAACAACCTTCCAACATCTAATGAATACATCTGATAAATATCTGACAAATAAACATATGATAAATACATTACCTTGAAACCTTCACTAGATCCCCTACATCATACTTCTTACCCCAAATCTAAATTCAGATTTTGTTACATGTATATTGTTTCTTGCCAAATCTTTAATTTGTAACTGCTTTGATACTTTTGTTTTACTTTTTGTTTTACTTTCTTTAAATATCTAATATACAATGATTATTAATATTACCAAATCATATCCCAATATATGGTATCTTTCCTTTATAATACCAGCTTATATATATATATATATATATAACTCTGATATGACTAGAACTAAATTTAATCACAATCAAGTCCATATTAAGACGAAAAAACATGCTCTGCATGACTGCATCGCGATGTCAGACATGACTGAGAAACGGGTAAAAAAAGCTAGTTAACATCAAAGTAAAAAAAAATGCATAGGTGTCAATTAAAATCCTCAAAGTATTTTGTAGCCTAAGGGCCCAAGACCTAACCATACTCCTTAGAGTACTCAACGCACCAAGTTTCTATTTTCTCTCCGCTTTTGTGCCCCCAAACGCCACAAACCGGTCCTTTTCTTCTAGGTTCTTGGCTATTTTCCTCTCCCCCGTTCCTTTTGATTTCTTCTCCCCTTCGCTCTTGCTTTATATCGTGAAAAGTAGAATAAACAATCCACTCACTGTGTTTAAGTTCATGGATAGTGCAACATTTTTAGACCTTTTTTGAAAAACCGCTTGTGCTTTGATTCTTTCTCTCCTTTCATTTCAGTCTCTCTCGGTCTCTCTCTCTCTCTCTCTCTCTCTCTGGTATCAACAATAGCGGAAAATTAATTCATAACTCGAACTGCCTTTGGAAATTGGATATTAGAAAGTCCTGAGACACGGTATTCCCTTTCCTTTAGCCTTGCTCTCACCATGCTCTCATAGTACCAAGTTTTGACATGACTGCTGCTAACTGCTCCCCATGGTCCACGGCCAGTGGAGCTTGCGCGCTCGCCCCCTCCTGGGAAACTAGACAAACTTAGCCGTAATGGTTGTTAAATTAGCGGCAACTGGTCTTTCATTACGGTGAATCGAGTACGGACTGTTTTGGTTGTTATAAATGTCCCAAGAAATCACTACTGTGGCAAATTTCTCAGCCATTCTAAGCCTGGAGAATCTAAAATGGTTTGGTCTGGTTTCGATAATTCTATAGTTTCCCAAGAGTTTGCTTTTCCAGCTACATTCCAACCGAAGAACTACCTCGATAAAGAACTTGATCAAACTAAAAAGTAAAAGTATTATTCATGACAACAATTTTTGTTCATATCAAGAAATAACATAATCAGGAAAAGGGTATACTTTGGCAACAAAATGAGGAACCCAAATAGTTTGAAGGAAATACAAAAATGTGACTGACATATTTTCAGCAACAAAACAATTTGACCTTGGTAAAATATAAAATTGTATGTTTCTCTGAGCGTTTTTGCAATATGTCCCGACATTTGTTTGTTAAACTTTTTATCAATAATGGAAGCCAAAATTGAATGACAATTATACAGCCAATCACACCCAATTATTTCAGCAGCCTTTATCGATCATTGTAACTTGTAAGTTTGTTAAGAAGAACAAGTTAAGGAAACAGGGTTCTTGTATATATTACAGGTTCTTGTAATAGAAAAACTTTATACTAAATGTTGGGATTTATCTCTTATAATGAATGATCAAACCTAATTTGTGAAACACAATATTAAAGCTTCATAT